GAAAGATAGAGTATGCAGACAGCTAGGTAGATAGAGCCACGGCTGAATACACAGAGGTGTTTTGCGTGTCTGGAGGGATTTTGGTGGCCGGTGTAAAGGAAAAATGATCTGAAAATCCCTCCCGATCACCCTTATTTGATTGTATTGACATTTATTTTAACATTTTTACCCTCGTTGTGGATGGTGTACCTTTGACCCTCGCCGGTGTAATGTTATTTGCTTGTTTAACTGTCTTATTTGACTTTACACTCGGTATTTGCCTTTGTATGTTTGAGACTTATTATGAGTGTTTCACTTTCCTATTATGTGACGCTGGACTGTTGATAAGGTGATGTTGTTTTACTGCGCACGACATTTTGTTTTGGTTCAACTTACGGTTGTGCAGTGATTTGACTGTTTGTCTTTTGACTGTCTACTGGGAACGTTTGTTTGTTGATTTGATTCCTGTAGGCAGAGTTTTGATCCCTTTTGCCGGGAATATTCCTATTGACCGACAGGTATTTAACAGTTGTATTTTTTAACCAGTTTTTACCGTGTAGTACGTATTTGTACCCGAGAACGTTTTGGACTGTATAGTTACCCAACGGCACTGTTGAGGTATTTTTGTAATTTGACATAACTTATTGTTGCTTTGATAGTACCACAGATTTTGTTACGAATCTACTATTGAATTACTACAAACCGTGTTTTGATATTTCGATCCAACCTTTGACTGTGCGTCACTCGCGGAAGTTAGGAAGCTATACAGTAGAACGCAGGAACTAGTCAGATTCACGTCAGTTGGCACCGCCTAGCTATTTCCCGCGTTCAGGCCAAGATTATTGGATTCTGGCCGCTACACATCCCATCTGCTGACCATTTTGTAATGGAACGTTCAGTTACTGTCTGCTAATTTCTTAACCGTTTTCTGTATTATTTACCTGCTGGATACTTTATAACCTCGAGATTTATTTTTAACTTACTACAATTATCCACTCATTACTCATCTGATACTTGCAATTTACGTTCCATGTATGAATGCAATCGGCGAGCATTTACAGGTCACTCTTTCACCATCCACAGACTTAAATCAATCTACCTATAACTTCGCATCCAATTTAGGGTTCGTTCAGCGTCTACTTGGATATAGTTATGTTAACAGTCTCACAGGCCCGCGAAACCCCTTAGTGTCTCTTGTATGCTCCAGAAGATGTAATGACAAAGAAGACAAACCAAACATGGTCTGCAAAATAAACTTCGGAAACTGCGAAGAACGCCACACTGGGTAGAGCGGTCGTTCTCTTCATACCCACCTACATGAACATTAACTAGCAGTGAGGTTTCATGTCACATATTCGTTTATATCAGTGCATACGGACATCTGCGAACATTAATTTAACCAGCAGAATGTGAAAATCCTGTATAGAGGAAATACTAAATACACCACGGAATTTCCACGAGCTTGTTGTCCAGGCCAGTCAGCTGGTATACTGACATCGTCCCAACCTACCAACCCATAAGAAGCAAACAGAAGGTCGAATTTCACGTCACCAGGACGACCAATCAGATCAGACAGGAAGGCGGTGACAAGACCATGGAATAAGCACCCAACCACACAAGGCCATCGGGACAGGGTACCGAACAAATTAACAAAAATAATAACGGTCTTATTTTGAAAGGTATTTCTGGACTACTCTACAGAGTTTTCAGCGCATCATACAGCATCAGCTGTATAGGGACGGTGTATATGGGTTTGGGAACTCTGGAGACTCGTAACTTTGCTGCGCGACATTCAGCGACTTCGCCGCAGCACTACTATCGAACCCACTTGGCGACTGGTCCCACCCAGGATGGAAGCATTTGCTAGAGTTATGGATAAATGGCAAAGTGAATGTGATGACAGAGTGAAAACAGTTTCTACGAAAACCTGTCTCCTGTCTACCATTTTGGTGAATAAGGATCTCACTATCAACGCCCTAAAATCATTGTCCATGCCCCTTTCAGAGATCGAAAACGACCTTGTTCTTCGATTGCCCTTACTCTTCAGAGTTAAGGAAAGTAATCTTCCCCATTTGACCATCGCCAAGGGTGTGACTTTGCTTGATACAAGGTCGTATGTAAGCTTTTGGGAACCTCAGCCGATAGTACAACCCTACGACGCTTGGTCCTCAGTGGAGGACAAAATAGGTGCATAATCCACCCAGGGGTGATTAACTGGATCTTGAAACGTGGGAGGAACTGCTGGTTGCGCTTGTTATATATCCTCTGGAATACAGATGACTAACAGAAGACTCGACAATGGCTTATGATATCTTGATCACCCCCTTGACTCCTAAATCATCATCTATTCAACCTTGGTCTTGAGAACGATCTCTGAGGACGCGCAAAAGTTAGGCCTTTAACGCAGCAGGCCGAATATGGTGAGCAGCTCTTACTTCAGTAGCATTTTGAGCATCCGTATGGTCTCTCAGAAGAGGTGACTGAGGTTAGTTCTTGTCAACGTCTTCCAAACACCAGCTTACCACCTACAAACGATGTTGACGTGAGTTAGGTTGCAACTAACTTGCTTTTACGATTCGACCGTCATCTTCTCTTGATTTGTCTCGTGCCTGGCACACAGGCTGGCCAACCATCGTTCTGTGAGTTTAATCAGCATGGTCATTGAGGTTTCAGAAAAAGTAATACGTGGTATAGTAATTAACCGTGTTGAACCAAATAATGTTTTGTCACCAAAGCAACACGGTTCCTGTACCGAACTAAACACCGTTGTTTTCCGAATCTTCTCATCACGAGAAGGAGATAGCCGTGGCTGGTGTTTGCAAACAGCGAATGGACACCGGGTTCATAGACCTCAACTAGGCATCCGATAGATTGTCGCACGTAAAATTACTGAGAATGCTCTCCTCTTTAGAGTTTGGCGCTGCACTGCAAGCCTAGATGAGTGACCTAGCCAAACGTCTTGACAATGTCCCACACTCTTTGCATGGTTTACGGCATGTATAAAAGACAGAGAATTATGTACTAAAGCAAACAGAATTCGGTCAGCCTGTAGGAGCGCAAGGGCAGGATTTTCTGAAGGAGACACCCCTTGGTCATTCACATTCTTACTATTCACCAGTGACCTCCCGACTAAAATCTCCTCTTCTGTCTTCTTTTTGCTGGAGACATCAAGATGTGGAGGACAGTAGATAAGGAAGAGGATTCTAGGACACTTCAAGATGGTCTATTGTGGCTGAAGTCCTGGCCGGCTGCGAACGGTCTAAGCTTATCCTGGAGAAACGGGAGGTGATGTATCTTCGCACACCAGAGGCGATGAAGACCAGCTACACCCTCAACTAGTTTGCAGTCCCCTAGGCATCTATAGGGAAGGACCCAGGTCTAGGCTTTTCTGACATGCTGGATACTAGTGCCAGGTATGAGGGAATGGCAGCAAAGAAGAATGACATCAATCACTTTCTAAGAAGGCAGCTTGGAGTGCTAACCCTGGGATTATTTCTTATAGTATTTAGAACCTATATTAGACCACACCTGGAGGTACTTAACACGATAGACCCCTGATATTATAGACGCGAATGTTCCTGAGAAGATACAGACAAAAGCGACAAGGTTGGCTGTCAGACTAACACGTAGAGCATGTGCACAGCACCTCAGACTACTCGGCTTGTTCAAAGTAAGCCACCGAAGGAAACGATGTGGCCTAATAACGGCCTGCAGGGTCATTCGTCAGGTGGCTACCCAAATAGGTCATTGCTATCGGCCTGAAACCGACAGTCTCGCGGGCACCCCACTCGCATACCCCACCACAGGGCAAAGACGAGGGTGGGATCAAACATCTCACACACAGTATGTGTCTTATGGAACGCTTTGCCGAAGGAGGTGGTCGCAACTACGTCGGTCGGCGCCTTCAGATGACTACTGGATAGGCACGTGAGCTAAAACGGCTTACCACGATTGTCTGCCGGTGGCAACTGAAGACACGCTCATCCAGCCTGTATTCCCCAACCGTAGCATCCGCAATAAGATGCATCCCTTCTCTGTATTATTGCCAGCAACGCCTATCTTCCTGCAGGTGCTTTTAAATCCTCTTTTTCTTATTCCCCGTCCAGCCTATTTCTAGCGCGCTTTAAGTACCGCTTAATGCCTACTTGCAGTGTTTACAGAAACAGGAATCGCAAAACGTTAATTGATGGTACCAGCAGCTCCACTGCCGTCCACCCCGAACAAGCCAGGGTACGGTTTGAAAAAAAACCTCCAAATGGACAATCACTCCCTTCAAAGCCACGAGCAGAAATAGCATACAGACCTCTACGACCACAGAAGGAGCTTAACCGAACTAAAAGAACCGAGCCTCAAGACCTAGGAGCGAGAGCTCAAAAACAAGTTTCCTCTAATCGCACTATTGATATTGAATGTTGTTGTTGGATCATAAACTCTTATTTTAAAGCTTCAGCAGGTCGTAATGGAGCTTAAACAAAAGGTTTCCGTCTACTTTGGTCAGCCCATAGGCTTTCTAAAGTTCTGATCAGGATATGTTCAGAATACTCTATTCCGCTTAAGTTAGACCTTACTGTCAGTGCTACATTCAGACGACCAACCCATGCCTAGAAAAGGATGCTGACACAATCGAGCGTGTTCATAAAGTGTGGACTGAGCTTGTGACAGGCTTTTCAAATCTATCTATAAGGTATGACTGAGTCGGCTAAACTTGTTCTCACTTTTTAACAGTGGGAAACGGGGTAATCTCACATTGGGTCCCGCATCCTTAGTAAAGACTTCGGTACTGATATGTCCCACCTTCTCTCTTCCGTCAAAATTTATTATCTCCAAGGGCATCGCAAGAAAATTTCAAAATAGCGATCGAATTCAGTTAGCGTGAATCTGTGTTTTTCCGATTGTGTGGTTAACGACCGGAACTATTTACCTTAGCAAGTAGTATCAGCACCTTCAGTTAACGTGTTCATCGAGAAAATAGATCTTCAAAGAGAAATTTTCCGCAACGATTAACATAGGCCAACTAATCTACTGTCCTTCTTACCGAAAACTGAAAGTCAGAGGAGCGATTTTAAAGGTTGGCGTTACTGCCAGAACTGTAGTTCGTTCTAAAAAGCGTCGTTCAGGTGCAATCTACATACGATGGATGAGGCTGATCCATATTTTTCAATGCAGAATGAAGTTTTGAAAAACTTGAAACTCACCGAAACGCTCTATGATGATTGGAAATGTGGATCAGGGTCAGCGGACCCAAAAATACTGACTCGACTTCGACAGACTATCAAAAATATCGAGTGGGATCTGATGGACTTGCAAGTTAGATTTTGTCTGTAATTTTTTACCCATTTCTTTGGTTCAGGTGTCTAAATTTTTGATTCCCATGAGAAGGTTATCATGTAATACCATTTCCCGTACACCGATAGGTATCAGCAGTTTTTTTTATGTATTAAGGATTGTATGAATAAGTTTTGGGACTATTCTTTCGAATGGGAACTGTTCTTCTGTACTCAGAGGCATGAAAAGTAAGTGAAAAGACTACTACTTCTCTGATGCCGAAGGCTTAGGAAGCGGGAAAACCTGTGATATGCCTTATATATCTAAATGTTTTGTATAATCCCACTACCCCATACATTGTTAAGGCCGATGTACATTCCCACTACATTTTTACACCTTAAGTGCATGGCGCTTGTGCTTATCCGTTGACACCAGCTTAGTTCGTCTTATCAGTTGCTGACGTTAAAGGACATCGGAATTTATAATCTGATCACGTCATATCTGTTCTTATGTAGCCCTGTAGACACAAATTCTTTAGCCATATAAGTTCACGTGGCTAGTAGACTTGTGACAGCTGGGTTATATCTATTAAAATGTCAACCCTGGCAACTTCTTCATTATCATTTAATCGAGTTAAGCAATGTGTTGCACACCTCAGAAACCGCTCGAAAGAGCTCGTTTTTAGATACGCAGCTAAGGGGAAAATATTGATCTAGTGCAGTGTATAGCTCCACCTGGCACAACACGTGGTCTTGAAATGGTGGAGAATATTTGTAGCTCAGGTGGATGGTGTTAGTTGTGTTGTTCTCTCAAGTGGGTTGTTTATTCGTAGAGCTTTCAACAACATGTGGTCTGCCTCTGACTCATTCTAGAAGTAGTATAACTCATTTCACTGGATGCATTTTAACTTCAGCTGGTTTGGAGTGAAAATTCTCATCTGAAGACTAACAGATATCAGTGGACGACAGTCGATATCATGGTGTACTGAAAAAGCTGTTCTCACAGTATGTAACTGGGAAGAGAATAACTTGAGTAGCCCAGTGAAAAAAGATGAGTTGATGAGCAACCGGGCATTCCTGTCCTACGACTAGCAGTATTCATCCTGAAAACTTTCATCACTCCTATGTATATAGTTTAACGTCTTCGTAACCAGTAGGTTGGTGCTTGAGTCTCAAATAAGTGTGCAATAGTTATCATCTATCAAGAGTAGTAAACTGGGACATGAATGCAGTAGATTATTCTCAAGGTTTTTATCATAAGTAATATTCTCTAATTAGGTTCAGTTACCACTGATGACTAACACGTAAGACGCAGGAGCAATAGGTATTTCATCTCCCTGATAATTAGTTACATATTCTAGTTGTCCTTAACTGAAAACATATTAACCAATAGAGTTAAGAGGAACTTGGTTGTGTATTTAGTGAATTAGTCTGTTGACTCGTCGAGAAGGCTTCAGGTGTTTAATCACTTGCACCATACCATAGACCATGTGTTGTGGTATCACTACGTCATCCATCCATTCACTTCACGTCGGTAACATAAATGTCAGACCTAGAGTTTTAGGGAGAATAAAAAAGTCAGTTGATGAAATTGTGAACCCTCATCCACTGAGGTGGCTGGGACGTAATACGCATACCTAGTTACCATCTGCCTCGTCGCACAACGGCCAGAATAAAACCTGGTATGTTTCTGAAGTTTTTAACTGTTGGTCTAAGCCATTTAGAAGAATGTAGACTTCATGGCTAGGGTCCGTGAGACAACAGAAACCACTGATTGAGAGCTCTAAATGAAATGGACTAGAGTCGATCTCAGTGGTGCAGATATCCTCATATTATTTTAACCGCTATCGTGATACCAGGTTTAATCATTGTCTCATTCCTTCCCATTCTAATTTTATTACTTTCTATCATTCTCGATTACTTTCTTCCGCATTTATTTATCTTTCACTTTTTTGCCTTCATGCTTGATGTGCTGATACGATGTGTGGCAACTTGGATCGTTACGGAGTGGTGTGAAGTCCCATGTTGATATTATCTATTCAATCCTCCTTTCCACTAATTTGAAATATTCGGTTTTCAATTTGTTATTTTAGGAAACTGTTGGAGCAGTTGAAAATAATCCCAAAAAATTTCGTTTGTCAGATAAAGATATATCAGCAAGACGTCAGTTTCTATCGGAAGCGAAAAATGTAATCAAGAATGTAAAAAATCATTTAAGCACATCAGATTTTGAAGGTGAAAAGAAGGATTCAACCATTGATTTCACAGTCCATATTGCACCGCCACCTGTCCTGTCATCATCCTTGTCCAATGGAGATGTGAAGATGAAGTAAGCGACTGATTTATGACCAGTTTGTTTTCACTTATTATTCATCAATTGTTGGAAACCAGAATTTGTAATATTTAGGTGTTAGCTGTTTTGAAAACCTCTGGGAAATGCATATCGGAGAGTCTAACCCAAAATCTTCAACAAAGGTTTCACCTCCAAACCAGTATAAAAAAATCAGTCCAACAACTAGCAACTCCACACATGCAGTACTAGTTTTAATAGACATAGACCCATAGAAGCTTGTTGGATTTGCTAGGAATCCCTGAGCTGACTGGTTCTCAACTCTCGAGTATGACTGACCAGTTTGAATATCACATATAGCTTGTTAGAGGGTATGGAGTTACTAGTTGAATGTTCCTTAGTAACAGTGATGAACATTGTAGCGCAAGATATTTAAAGTGGATTTAACCAGTACTTTTCAGTGTGAACCATTGGTGTTGGGATCAGTGATCAGTAAGCTAGTCAAATAGCTTTCAAGGACATGCACTGGTGAAGACTGCTGGGAGATCTTAAATCACAGCATAAAGATTGTCCGGTGGTTCACGTTTTCCAGCATTTATCCGACTGATTTCGAACTATAGTTCTATAATCCATCTCGAAGGGAAAAAATCGTCTTGATTTCCTTCCACTGATGATCACATTTGATCAAAAACTGTTCAGATAACATTTTTATATCACCAGTAGTTTTCATTGATTATATCAGTCTTTTTTCTAAATCGTGCTTAGTGGTGAGGAATTTCAATAGAAAGGTTAAGTATATGTTGAATTACTCTTTGAAGTGTGCGGATAGATAACAATATTTGTGGTGCACCCGTGTCGTGTAGGGTGGATGTTTGTGGACGCTAGCTTAGATTGTGGTGTATTGTTGAGTTTAAGATGAAGAAACAAAGAAAGTGGAAGAGGAAGATTGAGTGTTTACTGAGTTCTTCTTGTTTGAAATGTATATAGTGGAGTGGTAGGTGTGTATGCAGGGTGTTGTTGACCAAGTAAAGAGTGAGTCCCATCCATCCATCCAGATCAACCTAGGACCAGGCATTACTGCGTAACGGTCCAAGTTGCCACATCTCATCATATCACACCATCAAGTAAAAAGGCAGTGAGGCGCAAGATAAAGATAAGAAAATTCACTCAAAAGAAATATGAAGTACTAGAAGAGGAAAGGGAAGAATGAGAAAATCATCATCATCATCATTATCAACATAGGACCAGGCATTACTGCGTAACGGTCCGAGTTGCCACACCTCATATCAGCACATCAAGTAAAAAGGTAGTGAGGTGAAGGATGAAGATAAGTGAATGCAGTCAAAAGAAATATAAAGTATGAGAAGAAAGGAAAGAGGAGTGACAAAATAGTGAGATTCGGTATAGCGTTGTTAAGATGAGGATAATGTGTGTATACATCTGCGCCACTGACTTCGGTTCTGAGCCATATCACCTAGGGTCTCCAACCACTGGTTCCTCTTGTCCCGTGGACCCCAACCACCTAGTCTGCATCGTCCTACATGGCTTAAACCAACAGTCAGAGACTTCATACATTGGTGCCATGTTTTAGTCTGGCCACCTCGAGCCTTTTTCCAGCCTGAACCCACCTCAGCCAACATTGTGTGACGAGGCAATCGGTGACTAGGCATACGTAGTACGTGTCCCAACCATCTCAGTCGATGAAGGTTCACAACCTCGTCGACTGACTTACCTCTTCTCCCTAAAACTCTACACCTAACTTCTGCATTACTCACATGGTGACACCACGGAATATGTCCTATACTACGAAGGCAACGGTGGTCAAATACCTGTAACCTTCTCATGTCTTCCACTTTCAATGGCCATGTTTCACAGCCATACAGTAGAATAGAGCGGACTGCTGTGCAATGAGAAAATGGTGAGATTCGGTATAGCATTGTTAAGATGAGGACAGTGTATGTATACACCAGCGCTACTCACATCGGTTCTCAGGCATGTGATCACCTAGAGTCACCTAGAGTCTCCAACCGCTGGTTCCTCTTGTCTCGCAGGCCCCAACCGGCTAGCCTGCATTGTCCCACATGACTCAAACCAACAGTCGGAGACTTCATACGTTGGTGCCATGTTGTAGTCTGGCCACCTCGAGTCTCAAGCCTTTTTCCAACCTGGGCCTACTTCGGTCAACATCGTGTGACGAGGCAATGGTGACTAGGCATACTTAGTACGTCTCCCAACCATCTCAGTCGATGAAGGTTCATAACCTCGTCAACTGATTTACCTTTACTCCTTAAAACTGTATTCCTGACTTCTGCATTACTCATGTGGTGCGGTGACACCACGGAATACGGACTATACTACGAAGGTAACGGTAGTCAAACACTTGAAGCCAGCCTTCTCATGTCTTCCACCTTCAATGGCCATGTTTCACAGTCATACAGTAGAACAGATCGGACTGCTGTGCAGTACACGCGACCCTTAATAGACAATTGGATATGATGGCGGCGCCATAGGTGGCGTAAATTGGCAAAAGCCAATCGAGCTTTTTGTATCCGTGTTGAGATTTCATTGGCCATTGAGCCACCAGGGCTGATCCTACTTCACTTCGCAGGTAAGTGAAGTGGTTGACACACTGAATCACTACACTCACTCACTATTGTTAGCCGCAATGGGGCACCGATGAAGACGAATCTTGGAGCAACAGTTTGCATCTGTGTGGTGAGAACCGCATCCCAAACATTCTCAAACTGACACTCAGTGTTCAGGAGACTCTGCATCTTGTCAGCGTCTTCACCTAATAGGACTATGTCATCTGCATATTGCAGGTCTAACAAAAATTCTCCTGAGATTAGGTCAACGTCTGTGTAGTCAGGTGACGAGAGGGAGACCTCTATGAGAATATCTATGATAAAAGTGAATAAGAATAGAGACAGTGGGCACCTTTGACAGACACCACTCGATGAGCATAGCTCCTTGGACATCTCACCATAGCCTCCAACACGCCCATAAGTGTTCGAGTAAAGGTGATGTACTTACTCGGAGCGCCTTTCAGTGAGAGACATTGCCATAAGACTTCTGGATCAACGGAGTCGAATGCCGCCTTCACGTCGAGAAATACAGCTAGTGTCGGGCGTCGGTAAGGGTGCCCATATTCCAGAACCTGGCGCAGTGTGAATATTTGGTCAGTACACCCGCCGAGTCTAAATCCTGCCTGGTTTTCTCGGGTTTCCTGTTCCGGAGCTCCAATCAGGCATCGAAGAATTATGGAACCTTGAATCTTAGACACTATGTTCGTCAGGCTGATTCCTCTGTGGTTATCACAAGAGGACTTCTTGCCCTCCTTGAAGACTGGAATAACCAGTGATTTAGACCAGTTAGAGGAGATCGTATTTGATTCCCATATACTAGTTAACACTTCTGTCAACCTGACTAAGAGCACTCCACCACCATCCTTGTATACCTCAGGAGTTACTCCATCTGGTGCTGATGCCCTTCCTCGTTTCAAGTTACCTACAGCTTTCTCGACTTCTGAAAGTGTTGAGGGTCTATCTTAATGTAGTAGTGGTAGTAGTCAATGGTTGGGGACTCATGGTGACATGGTTGAAAATTGGTCACAGTGGTACAGATGTATTCACTCCTTAACGTCTTCTAGAGCTTGGATATTGACACTTATCTTTATTTCCAAAGTGTTTATTATCTCATACAACTTTGTACACTTTGATAACACTCTTCTCCTATCTATCTGTTCTTTGAATGCTACTATGTGATATATGACAACTTGAACCGATGAACTTCTGTTGGAGGTTCTACGTTGATTCTGTCTGTCTATCTATCTGATGCCTTACTAACTGGGTATCGTTGGATTTGTGCTTTACTCACGTGTATGAATTCCCAATTGAACTTAGCACAGGAAAAGTTATTTGTAACCCTTTATGCATTAGTCTTTTCTTCCACACACCGACGATACAACAGAAGATCAAGATTAATTGTTTGTTTTCTTTGTATTTATGTCATCTGAGTCAGACACACATATATGACTGATATTCATTTGCTCACCGGACCATGATTCATAGAAATGAAAGCTGATTTCATGTATAGAGAAGACAGAAGTGATGAAGATACCGCACCACCACCATCAACAACAACAACAAACTCCAGTCACCGTCAACGGGAGAAACTTGAAGGAAGTAACCTCCTTCACTTATCTAGGAAGCACTGTTTCAGCTACAGGCGGGACGGACGAGGACGTCAAAGTCAGAATCGGAAAAGCAAGACAGGTGTTCATTAGCCTGAAACCAGTGTGGAGATCTTCTGCACTCAGCATGCGGAACAAGATACGGATTTTCAACACCAACGTCAAGTCAGTGCTTCTGTGTGATGGTTCAGAGACTTGGCGCGTCACGAAAGGCATTTCCAATAAACTACAGACATTCATCAACAACTGCCTACGCTGGCTCGCTACTGAAGATCAGATGGCCAGAATAATGAGAATAAGCAACAAGGAGCTCTGGGAACGAACCAACCAAGAACCTATCACGCAACAAATATGCAGGAGGAAGTGGAGATGGATTGGTCATGCACTGAGAAGGCCGACGGAGGACATCACGCGTCAGGCCTTCGAGTGGAATTCCCATGGGAAGCGACGAGTTGGACGTCCGAGGGTGACATGGAGGAGGTCATGCGAGGAGGAAATGAGAGGTTGTGGGCTGTCGTGGAACCAGGTTCAAAAGATCTCAGAGAACAGAGGTCACTGGAGGCGTGCTACTGAAGCCCCATGTTCCACTAGGAACCCAAGGGACTAATAATAATAATAATAATTTGGATAATACACACTTAGCATGCAATTGTTTCTCAACCGTGAGTTGTATAAAGTTTATTGAAGGGTCAATGCTAAAGCTGTCAAGCTGAGCTATAAAATAAGTTTATACAGCTTAATGAAAAGACGAAGATTATCTGGAACATGTGTGATGTATTAGCCGTATACATTTTAAACCGTCTAATCGTACATAGATATATCGAACTATGAAAATTTATGAAAAGGGTCAATGAAGTTAATAAGAAGAGGTACTTTCTCTTGGATTCAGTTTTTCTGTTCCTCAAATACAAAATTCTGATTTAACAACCGATGCTTAATTTGAAAATCTGTATGGTCAACTAAAGTAACTTATCTCAACTTCTTTAGACAATTAGAACTGGTTAAGAGCTAAATTAGTAGACATTGCTAATGAGTTTCATAATCCTGGTCCAAGACAGAAAAAGCATCTTAACATGTGAACATTTCAAAGTACTCAAAAGATTACGAAATAAATCTGATATTGTTATACTAATACCCGATGAGCCCTGGATTCAAAACTACGACCGAAACAGGCTGGCTGGCTGGCTTCAGGAAGTACAAATCATGTGCGGACCAAATTGCAACGCCTCGCATCACTATAGAATGGCAGTCAACCCTCTACCTCAACTTCATCGAGTTTGAAAAGGCCTTTGACAGCGTCGACATAGAAGTAATTTGGCAGGCAGTTGCTTCAACACTACGGAATACAAAAAAATACCTTTATCAACCTCATTCAACAACTATATGAAGACGCCACATGCTAAGTAATTCACAATGGGAAGCTCAGTGATGCTTCTGAAGTGAAGACAGGAGTGAAACAAGGTTGCCTACTACCACGCATGATATTCCTGATTGTAGTGGACTAGATCATGCAACAAACAGTGAGGAGCGAGAAGAGGGGGATACGCTGGCTGGACTGCAGAAAAGAACCTAGAAGATTTGGATTTCGCCAACGATGACTTATGTCTAATGTCACACAAACTTGAAGATCTACAGGCAAAACTAACAAGTTGACAGAAGAGTCGAAGCAGGGCAGCGAAGGAAGATGGGACTTCAAGTGAATGTAGAGAAGACAGAGGTGAAGATACCCAACCAACGCCACCACCACCACCAACAATCATCAATCACCATCAACGGCAGAAACTTAAAGGAAGTAGCCTTTTTCACCTATCTAGGCAGTACTGTTTCAACTACAGGTGGCGGCACAGACGAAGACGTCAAGGCCAGCCAGGATCGGAAAGACAGCAAGACAGGCGTTCATCAACTTGAAACTAGTGTGGAGATCTTCTGCACTCAGCATAAAGCTTGAACAACATCCGAATTTTCAACACTAAGTCAGTCAAGTCAGTGCTTCTGTAAGGTTCAGAGACTTGGCGCGTTACGGAAGGGATTTCCAACAAACTACAAACATTTATCAACAACTGCCTACGCTCGTTACTTAGTATCAGATGGCCAGAATAATGAGAATAAGCAACAAGGAACTCTGGTCTGCCAACGAACCAACCAAGAACCTACAACCCAATAAATATGCAGAAGAAGAAAGTGGAGATGGATTGGATTAGGCATACACTAAGAAGGCCGACTGGGGACATCACGCTCCAGGCCAGGCACTCGAGTGGAATCCAGTTGGGAAACGACGAGTTGGGCATCTGACTTGAGAATGACATGGAGGAGATGCTGTAAGAGGAAGAACTATCGTGGAACCAGGTTCAAAAGTTTGCAGAGAACAGAGTGCACTGGAGACGTGCTACTGAAGCCCTATGTTCCTTTCGGAACCCAAGGGACAAATAATAAAGATAATAATAAATACCCGATAAAGAATCGGGTTTAGTCGTTATGAACAGGTCTGATTATAAAACTAAGATATTATCTATACTTAGTGATGAGTGCAAATTTACATTAGACATCCCCTCTGATGAAAATGCTTGGCATGAATTTAATTATCTAAAGCCTATGGGATCTGAACATCTACATGTATATGGGTTACCTAAAACTCATAAACCTGACAATCAATCGGCTACATCCATCGATCACTCACATATAATCTAGCTAGATGGTTGGCAAAGGTCTTGAATCCTGTCAGAAGCCATTTATATAGATCCTTATTGAAGGATACATTTGACCTTATCGACTATCGAAGTGATATTCATATCAAGGATAAGACTATGTACTCGTTTGATGCAAATTCTTTATTTACTAATATCCTACTGGTAAAGAAATTGTTATTTTATGTGAATACATTTCTCCTAACAGCCTTATCCCCCTTATTTTTAAAAAAAGATTTATTATTTGTATGTACTGATAAAGTTGAATTCACATTTAAGGGTGAACACTTCCAGTAGATTAATGGTATCGTGGTGGGTAGAACCATTGCTGGCTGATATATGCATGTCACATATTGAAAATATGATTGACGATCTCATCGGAAGGGTTTCACTTTGTAAGAGATATGTCGATGATATAGTCATTGCATGTGAGAAACCTGACGATGCGATATACTTGCTAGAGAAAAGGAACACGGCTCAAAATCAAATTTTCGTTACTTGTGAACAAGAGACGAACAATCAGTTACCGTTCCTAGACATATTGCTTAATCGATGGGAGGATGACTCGATCAGGAGATGGATCTATTGAAAGCCTACATTCACTCCCATATAAACGTGGTTTAGTTAGATGCAACCAAGGTCATCATTGTAGAGAAGACAAAGTCCATGTTACAGCATAAGCCAAAACAGCATATAAACGATTACACCACATCCCACTGTGTTTATGAATTTACATGTATGTGTGGACACAAATACATAGGGAGGGAGTAATAGTGATATGCAGTTAAGGATGGTTGAACATGCATCTAAGTGAACCTTATTCGACTGAGATGGCTTGAAAATATAGGGGGCATACTGAGCCACAGCCTATCTCGACGTGCTGTGTGTGGTAGAGAAGTCGGATTAGATTGGAGGAGGGTTCAGCATAGCTAGACCTGAACGTCCATGAAGTCTCTGATCGTTGGTATGAGTCACGTGAGGAGATGTAGACTATCTGTTTGGGATCGCCGAGTCGATATGAGAATCTATACTGATTTTGTTCATCTATGTCATAATATGTTGCACAAACGCATATACTGAGTTAAGTTGGTAATGCCTAATTAATGTTGTCTTGTTAATCATTTTGGATATCCATGACCAACTTACATAGCATTGATTTTCATTCACTGATGCTTTATCTTGGTTTATTTTTCTCTCTCTCTCAGGGAAGAAATAATGAATAAAACATCCCCAAGTATGATATTCAATTCTCATTCAAAAGTATCAAACATTTATTCGTCATCTAATGATCCTTTAACAGAACAAAAAAAATTATTATATGAACAAGATAATCGTTTAAATCAATTAGGAACTACTATTTCTAATCTAAAAGGTATGTCATATCGTATAGGAGATGAATTAGGTGATCAAGTTCTCTTATTAGATGATTTTACTAGTGAAATGGTTAGTACAGAGTCTAGACTTGATTCAGTCACTAAACGAACTGCACATTTATTACATTTGAGTACAGATCGTCGACAATGGTGTGCTATCTTCTCCTTATTAATTACACTCATCATTATATTGATTTTATTTGGTATTCTCTAAAAGTATTATTGATTAGGGTTAAAGATAATCTTTTAAGGTGGTGATTTGTAACTTGATGTATGCGTATGTAATATAATGTTTTTCTCTCTTTTCAGTTTTCTCTATTATTTTGTTCTTTGTCATGTGTTTTACGTCTTTTTCTAGTTGTTTATTGTATTCATCATGTTCTTGACTTTATTTTAAGACATTCCCTGTTTATCTGTAATCCTGTAAATTTGTCTGTGTCTAATTATCGTTACTTTTTCATCTGTGATTCACTAGCTTTCAACTGTCATATTTTTCAAAATGGTACTTCATCTGAGATGTATAAGTAAACTGTTGGTTTTTATCTATGAGTGTAATCGTAAAAGAATAAGAATAGATGGTCAGTCAATTTAAATGAGCTTGAAGCAATGTGTACTTGGCTCGAGTCCTAATGAGGACCGCATGACTCACTGAGGTGTAGATAAATCCAGCTAATAAGTCTCAAATAGGGTGAAACACGCATCCTGATATCTACAGCTTGTTATTTTCACGCCATTTCTTATAGCGGAGTGACTTTAAACGCCATCCTAGCAACTGATGAAACAACCAATCATGTTTCTGTATTCTATGAAAAATTGTCTTCCCAGCTGAAATACAGCAACGTGATTGGCTACTTTGATAGTTTTTGAGGGTGGTCTTTAAAGTCGCCTCCATTGAAATCTAATCCGCTGATTGCTTAATCCTTATTCTTACTGTGTTAATGTGTTAATTTGCGGACAAGGTCATGTCTCATATGTACACATGCTCACGTGTTATTAGGTTAATTGGTTATTAATCTTGGAGGTAGTTCTTTGAGTATTGTAGAGTAGAGTAGAGTCATCAACAGAAATTCTTGCACCTAATTTTCTCACAAAAGTATAACGTTAACACCTCACTTTGGGACTATATGATATTTGTGGTTAAGGTATGTTTTGCAAGGTGAAATACTGGTCGGTTTAGGTAAACAAGTGTCACAATTCAATAAGCTGATTCGATGGTAATAACTGTTGGTCATCGTGGCTTCTCAGTGACTACGTTGTTACAGAGGCTTATACCGGATGCCCTACAGGTAGACAAAACAGATGTCCATGTTGTAAGTAAATCTAGAGGTATCATGAGATTAGAAATGTATTGGACAGGCGTCCTAGGCTAAAAGTTTTTAGAAGCAACAAATAAACCTGAGGCCTACGCAGTGCCTGACCGATAGCTGCTACCTTGACGTGGTGGTCGGGCTTGCATATCACAATGACCCAACAAGCTATGCTGGTGGAACGCTTGTTCCCTCGAGGTCCTACCATACCAGAAAGGTCTGTTGGATAGTGGGTAGACGAAAAACAGTTACTGTTGTGGTGTAAATTACTACACTATGATGAGGGGTCTGAGGACGAAGTCGTTCTGCTGTTAGCTGGATGGGGTATGACAGTATTAAGGTGTTTACCTTGGATGACCAGCAGTGCCTTGCTGATTCTGCCTTCTCAGTGGAAGGGGGAGGGTTAGAAAAGGTCGGCCCCCAAAATAACACTCCATCATACCCCACGGTCTGCCGGGCCGGCGGTGTTGGTTCATTTGTCGTTTCTTTTTGACCATCCGGCCCCAAAACAACAAAAGTTCAAAGTAGTCATACACAAAAGGCTGGGTGTGACAGGCATCAAGCAGATGTCCGATGGGCTCTGTGGTCACACAAATCTCTTTCAGGTACCTTAAGAAGAAATAGCCTTTTACGGTGTGGGCAGCCGGGAAGTGTCAACTGCCCTCACAACTCGATCAACACTCAAGTCTCCTCAGACTGCTATCCATCTCCTCCACCAATACCTTCTAATCTTCATTCACGACTCTCAACTAACGATACTACATCATCTTCAATTTCTCCTAGCTCTGTAGGCTTCGACAATGATCTGAGTCCAGAGAACAACATTCTTAGTCTCCTTAAACCACGCTCCAAATTACATATTGGAGCCTTCATTGTCCTCACCCCCCGTCAAATCGGTTAACAGGCTTCGTTGGCAAAGACTTTAGCCACTCGGATAATGGATGTATGCTGTGCTTGTGAGGCTCGCATACAGGGCTTAAGTGTGGTTATTCACCTAACCTCTCCCTGCCAATCTTGTAATCCGCAAAATTCACCTTTCGAGTTTCTGGAGATTTAATGGCTAACTCTTTTGGTCTTGCAGGTGTAGGCATAGCATTAAGCACTAGGGCAGAAAGTTAACTACTAGACTGGATCCCAGTTGATAGTCACCTCTGCGCTATCTGACTGAACAGCTCAGTGAGAACTAAAAGGAATAGTGAAACTCGCCGTTGTCTCTGTAACCTCTGGTTACGTACCTACTGACTGGAGTTTGGATGCAGTGAAGGACGAGTTCTACCGTAAACTGTCTAGCCTTCTCTCGAAAGCCAAGCGTTTATAAAAGTGGTGTTTGTTGCAGGTGACCTCAACGCACAGGTGGGTAGACTGAGTGAGGCAGAAAGGCACTTTCGGAGTCGCAGCTGAATGTACAGATAACGGTGATCGCAGCGCTGAAGACCATAGCCGACTCTGAAAGAGTGTTGGCCTAAAACGCTACAAATTATATATTGGAGCTTTCAATGTCTGCACCCTCCGTCAAGTTGGTCAACTGGCTTCATTGGATGGATGGAGTAAAAAGTTCAGAAATATGTTGTTTCCGCCAGCTAAACATGCTGTGTTATATCTATCAAACCTGATTTTTATGCTGACTTGATAGAAATCAGTTTACTATGGGATGGCAATGAATTTTCTCGTGGTTTAGGCACGTAGGATATCTACAAAGGCACCCAACGGAGGTGTTACTAATTTAGCGTCAATCCTAGCAGTAGTACAATAACGTTTCGTATGCTAAAATCATCATAGGAAACCTAGAAATATGAATATTGAAGTGAAAACAGCCTTCAACCAACTAACATCCACTAAAGTGCACCGTGACAGTGGCCTTATTGCAAAATGATCGATAGGATTCGGTCTGTACTCAGTACTAGACAACATTCATTGCTCTCCGGTGACTAACCAATTTATTTTTGTCGGTCAAGCTCATTCCTTTATCAGAACAAGATTTCTCTTCTCCCTTAAACCTTAGAAGGCAAATGATAGAGACTAGTCTGAAGAGAACACACCTGTCTATTAACCTAACCAATGCCTCTATGTAACAAGAGATGATAGAGCAGAGCCACAACATTTCCTGTGAACCCTTTGCTATGTCGGTTTACCGAACCCATGGTTTTGAAGATCAGTTGTGGCACGAACAGCTCAGTAGTAACGTCGCTGGGTGATACTGGTTTAAATCTGGGAAGGGGAATCACTTTCTTCGAGTTTGCAGATACGCTATGCTAATATGTGCCAGATAGTGTTAAGCCTAGGTCCAGGGAGTCCTGCCTATTGATTACCTCCATTGAAGTGAGAATTACCTTGAATTCTGACTATACGTACAAAGTTATCTTCTAGGCATTTAGCGAAAATTATGATTAGATTTTGGTGTTAGGATCTGGCGTAAAGGTTTATTTGTTTCAAGTATCATACTTTTTCCATTTTTTTCTGTTTATCAGAAATGCTACACAGTGAAGGGACAGTATCATTTACTTGACAACGATTCGGACGTCATTCGTCGTTCATGTTCATACAAGCTAACTCCACAACTTTGAGACATCGTTTGCATATCTTTGATTTTCTCTCCATCTTTGTGACAAGAGTAGTAGAATAAATCAACAGGTTTTTAGCACATAAATTCGGTAGTGAATGCAATGCAATTTACCTGTGACTTAAAAAGTGATGAAGGTGAGCTAACAATGTTGGATTGGATGGCTAAACGAACATAAGATTAGAGTTTAGAGACTAGTGGCTTTAGGAAACCTTCCCATTCGAATCGTTACTTAGACGCTAAATCATCTCACCTCATCTCAGTTAGTTAAATGCCTAAGTGTTAGGGCGAAAAAGCTAACTAGTAGCCAAGGTAATCTACAACAAGAAATTAGACACATCAAGAATACCTTGCATCTCAATAAACACACCTAAATTTATAAATAAATTCATAAGAAATTGAAAGAAAAATATTAGTAGTGGTAATACAGGTATTATTAATAATTCTACCAATAATGGTGATAAGGTTGAGGGAGAATTCAAAGCCTCTACTGTGTTACCATACAAAGAAGACACCTCAGAAGCATTACAAAGAATTCTCATAAGGCTAGCTGGGATTAAAGTGGCATTTAAACCAACAAACTCATTTAGAAACAAGCTTTGCAGGTTAAAAGATCCTATCGATGCAATTAGACAAAATAATCTGGTTTACCAAGTCCCTTGCAATGATTACGAGGTCAAGTACATAGGTCAAAACAGTCGATTCGAATAACAGAGCACAAAAACTTAGCTAAACCGAGATTTGTGGATCCTAATTCAGATAAGAAATCTAGAGAAAAACTCGGCTATAGCTCTGCATGCGATGACACACAATCACACAGTAGGGTGGGATAGGGTGACAGTTTTGAAAACTAACTTAGTTGGGTGAAGAGAGAGATTGATAATCGAACCTTTGTTTATCGAATCAACTCCAAACATATGCAATCGAAATGGTTCTGCACCTGTCCCAGATATATGGAAAATTCTACTACTCTTGTCATCACAGAGAAGGAGAGAAAACTAGGAATATATAAAGTTTGTTTCTCACTTGTGGAGTGACCTGATATGAATATGGACAGTAAATTATGTCCGAAACGTTATCCAGTAAATGTTACTGTTTCACTGTGTGATATTTCTAATAAACAGACTAAAATGGAATTACACTCGACCGAAGTGCCCAAGTTTTACGCTTATATCAATGTTTAGGAGAAACTTTTAAAATTATAGTTGTGCTACTCACTATTAGTAAGTAGTATGTCTGTGCATATAAAAATGTGGACTCCAGAGTCAAAACAAATTAATACCGTATACGATTGATTGATGAAACGATTTTAAACCAACCTCCTCTGAGGCAGTATGTATGTTGTGTTTCTATTTTCGTCCAGATACAGACTAAGCGTGCCCTATCAATAAGAAGTTATATCTGCATACTCGATGCGAAAGGTTATTCGAGAGGAAAAGAATTTCAGAAGCTGTTTTGAGATACATTATAATGGTCAGGGAATCAAGCCTGTTTCTGTCTATCAAACAAGGGATTTAGTTCAATGTCTGGAGCGTAGACCTGCTAATTACTACTAAGTTACGCTTCACTGGAAAAATTATACGCAATAATACACTGTCTTTGACTATTGATCTTCTGCATATGACAGGTATTTGGATCATACAGTCGTTATGAGGGGACGGAAACTTACTACATGAATTCGCAGGAAAAAAACAATATCGAGGAAACTCTTCATTTCGATGAATGCATTTACTAAAGGTGTTCAGTTGTAATCACAACTAATGGAAATTTATCAACAGTCTGTTATTGCATACACATATTTCCTTTTGTAAGTTCTCAAACGGCAAGAAGAACCATTGCAGAAAAATGATATTACTGTTATTATTCCCATTTGGTTCCTAGTGGAACATATCCGGCTTCAGTACCACGTCTACATTCCAACCCCTTCTCTACAGTCTTTCAAACCTGTCCCCACGACTGCCTACAACCTTCCATTTCTTCCTCACACACCACCTCCTCCATGTCACCCTCACCCAGCACGCTCAACTCGTCCTTTCCCATATACATTCCACTCGACGGACAGGTCTGTCCTGCCACGTGATGTCCTCAATCAGCCTTCCCAACATATGCCCAATCCAATCCATCTCCATATTTGTTGGCTGATAGGTTCTTGGTTGGTTCGTTGCCAACCAGCCAACCAGCCAGAGCTCCTTCTTGCTTAGTTCTATTATTATGGCCATCTCATCTGATCTTCAAAATGGAGTATGTGTAGGCAGCCGTTGATGATGCATGTATGTCTGTAGTTTGTTGGAAGTGCT